TTTTGTTATGATAACTGCTGTTTAACGCCGCAGTACGCGTTCCGAATGTTATCACAAGTCGTGCCCCCAGGCGGCCATAAGCTGAGAGGGTAAAAGCGGCCCTGGTGGCGTAACGGATAGCGCACTCGCCCGGAAAGCGTGAGGTGCGGGTTCGACTCCCGCCTGGGGCACGACTTTTGCCCACAACTCTTTTTCAAAGCGCATTCTTGTGATAACTACGAATAAATCTCCAGCCATCTCGTACACTGCCCTGCATCAAGTACATTTGCGTGGAGTAGCTGATAGCTTCAGCAAAAAAGCTTTGCGGCCGTCTTTGCGTTTATCACCTGACAGACTTTTTTGTAGAGAATGTAGGGCAGGAAGCAATAATCCTTCGTTTTATTTGTTTGGAAGGGGAAATATGAGTTATTGAAAATCACTATCTACTAGTGTACTTATAGCGACGACTCACGAAATAAGGGAAATGTGTGGCTCAAGAGAGCGATCTTTCGTGACGCATATGGAGAGGCAACCTTAGAGAAAACGATGGGGATGGGGGTCGATTCCAGCGGCCGCGGTATGGCGGAGAGAAAACACCTCTTGAAAAGTCCGACACGGACGGTTGATAAACATTATAAAGCAGATTGCACAGCAGAATGCCTGCTGGATCCTAATGCATGCTTCAAAGCGGTTGAATCTTCAAGGAGCGAACCACGTCAAATGAGAAATGCCCAGGAGACAGACTGTTTACTTAATAGTTTTTAAGCTGTTTCATTGTTTGAAACTGCTGTTTCACGCCGCAGTGCGCGATACGAAAGTTATCACAAGAATGCTGAGTTGTGGGCAAAAGTCGGACCACGGGACGGGACTCGAACCCGCATCTTCTGCTTACCGGCAGTTGCGTTCCATATTACGTCACCAGGGCCACTTTTGACCCTCTCAGCTAGTGGCTATTTGTGGGGCCATTGCCTTCGGAGCACTCACAATGTGAAAAGTGGTCGCCAGGGCTTTAATGGGGAACGCAACTGCCCGGTAAGCAGAAGATGCCGGTTCACAAATCCAGTCCGACTGGAATCTGGTCCGACTTTTGCCCACAACTCAGCATTCTTGTGATGTATACTTACCTCCAAGGAGGCTCCCTTCCATAGACGAGAAGAACGAGTCCGCAGCTGCAATAGCGTGCCCTCTTACTCGCAGGGAACACTGGAGGGTAGTGATACCAACGCTCCTCCAAATTCTGCGCCTCGCTAATCACAATGTGCAGGCCTTACGTTCTACGCAAGCCCTTATAGCCAAGACTACACTCGATAGAGACAACTAGAAAGTGAGAAGGCGCACAGATAAGTAGCGCGTTTGTTTATAGTTAGGCGTGTTGCTGGTGCCGTGCACGCAGCGCCGATGGAGGCCCCGGCTAAACGCTTGGTAGGCACTAGACCATTCATTCATTTCCGTGCACAGTTTGACCGGAGAAAGCCAAGCTGGCGCATGTGCGTGCACTTCGCGCAACTGTTGCCCATATTCACAAAATTACCAAACCTAGGGAAAATAGCGCCTTAAGACGGTCATGGGTTTTTCCATCACTGGAGATAGAAACAGAAATCTAGAGTCAAGACTAATAAAGGAGTTCATACACTTTTCAAAACCTTACATTCTTAAATTTAGGTGCCAAACGACGTGCGAAGTGTTTCTGTACGATGGTGAAAGCGCTACTCTGACTTTCGACAGCGACAAAGTAAATATCATCGACTTCTATCAATTTTTTCATACGACCACCTTCGTGTACTACCGTTCGTGCTATCAACCTATGGATTCTGCTAGTTGCCGCTATCGAAGCACTGGAGCGTTCGAACTCTGCATTTGCAACGACAACTTGTCTCCAGTGTAGCATTACGAGAAACGCGCTAATATTCGCTCAGTCATGGTGAGTTGAAACCCGCCCTTTGGAGTTGGTAAACAACGAAGGAGCTTCCCGGCTTCTGACGGCACTCGCTGAATATACATAATTTCCGTAATAATTTTCTAAAAAGTGATCCTGCCACCGAACACTCAAAGGCAAATTCGTGTCTTGTTCGATCTAATGTCCGTTTTGAATTAGACTGTAAGTGAAACAAAGTGTGCCGTTCGCTGGTTGATCTATTGCAAACTTTCATTTTGCTGCATCTCCTGCGGAAGGGAGACCAGGACATTCGCTATCGCCGCATCGCCGCGCGCGGCGTGCCATGCGGAGATGCGCTGCGGGCGTGCGTCAGGTTGCCAGCTGGAGCAACAAAACTCGTACGAATTCAAGCGGAGAACTTTCCCGTCCACTGAAATCAAATTCGAAATCCAGACAAGACGACTCGTCTGTCATGCGTCTGTCTGTCGCTATGTCCACCATCGCGCATATTACGGACACTAGAAGTGGCACACGGGGATGTGGAGACAATATAGTCTGCTGCGCTGAGCTAGAAGCTCCAGTTTAAAGGTCTCAAAGCTGAGCGCAAACCTGTAAGCGTTTTTTTTCAAAGAACGGAAGCGAAAGGTGCAAAATGTCAAAACTTAGGAGATTCGGTTTAAGTTTGGCAGTTTCCCAACTGGATTATTTTGATTTTCTCTTTGTTAGTTTACAAGTTGTTTGAAAGCTTCGGACCACTACTACATACTTCCCAAGAGGCCTTTAATAGTAAAGATGGGAATTCATTGTTTTGCTTACCTCCTCCGCTTATGTCCTGCCCACACAATATGTTAAGATAACAGTCACGGGAAAGAATGACGTGCACATTGCTGTTCCAAATTTGATAAGACAGCAAAAGGGGCTCCTACCAAGAAGTCAGGTTCAGCCAAAAAATAAAAAATCACGGGAACACCTTCTCTACCAATTTCAAAAATTGTGCAGCTAGATGTTAGATGTGTATAGAAGAGCACAGCTTTCTTTGTCAAAGCCATCTTTGAGCATTGCGTTTAATCATTAAAGACTCATGCGAAGTCCGAGCTACAAGAAGAAGTAGGGCAAGCAGGGAAGTAGAACTTGCAGTATTATTAGGAGCAATTGGTCATTGTTCAGCTCTTCCATTACCTATAACCACTTTTTTATGCTCCTTGCTTTCCTTGCTGCCACATTTACTTCGGGCGCAAGTGCCCGACAACATTACAACGCCCCGAGTCGAGGGTAAAATCAGGGTCGCGCTCTTGCCTCGGGCTAGCCAAACGTAAGAGCTCTCTCCTTTCTCGAGCTGCGTAAAAATAGTATACACAGATTCGTCCGGGAGACGATGAAGAACTTTGAAGTTGATTTCAGCGTGACCCCTTAAGTTTCGTATGTGTTGAGGACCATGGCTAATCGCGCTTAATAGAGGCCGTGGGGTAGAATCAGGTCGGAAGGAGAGGTTCGCATGCCAAAGTAGAGTAGGCTCTTGAGGTGAAGCGTTCATGCTTCTACCTCTACCGTATCATAACTTTTCATGTTGTCATTCTAGAAACAAAGTCCTTTGCCCTGGAGGTGTTCTATTATAGTGTTTCGAAAGGTTCAACGCTGTTGCATTAACTTTTTTTACACCTTTGAAGGGGCTACATTTTCTATGTATGGCCAAACAAGCACCACATAGCCGAACTTTTCTCAATTTCGGTGTGATGAAAATAGACTTCTAAAATCGAATAACTCGTTCGAACAACTTTCCAAGACCAGATAACAGTTAACGCTTACTATAGCACATAAGTCTGTATCGACACAATCAGTCGGGACGGTGTCAGGAGTGATGGAATGAGCATGTCTCAGGCTGCCTACCAATAGTGCTCGATTGGTGATTTAGGAGCAGAACAACCGGTGGTTAAAACGCCGTGGGTGGCCGCATTCCATACCTCTAGTCACTGCCCCGACTGATTGCGATGATATAAACTGCACACAAGAGTCAGAGTACAAATAGCTTCGGAATGCTCGCTGACCAAAGTACTAAGGTACAACTGGGCTTAGCGTTCCACTACATTCTAGTAGATCATTCTCCTAGGTCCATGAAAGCGATAAAAGCCCAGGTGTTAGCCGGAAGAGTCCTCGTGTATGACAATATGAAAGAGGCAAAGCCTCGAGAACGGCAGGATTACCACGATTAATGTTTTCTTTCTAGGTGTAACAGAACAACTACGGCAGTTTCGACTACATCGACAAAGTTGCCGACTACCACCGAAGAACCGACGACAACTTCTGAAAGCTTCGAAAGCAGCCTGAGGAAATTTTACGCTCATGTACGGGAGCCTCAACGAAAGTGCATCAGCTCATAATTTGCTTGATGTGAATATCTCAGTGGAAGTGTCAATCACGGGCAATGTAATCGCTACCTTTGAGCTACGGCAATACAGCTCAACGGATCTTGTCTTTCTTGTCAATAGCTATCCGTGAGTGTTTGACAAATTCTTTGGGAGAGACGTAGTTGGGAAGGGGGGGGGGCGGGTGGATAGGGCATGTCTAGCTGTCTTCGAGGAGTATTTTTGCAAAGTACGGCTTTTTTCACTCTAACTTAATCCTCGATAGGATCTCCTTGCTCCGTTCTACCTATCAAGTTCCCTTCCCGACATTCTACCACTTCGGAGTTTTTGTTCTGGGAAAAATTTCCATTTTTTCATCGAGCAGCGACTTGAAACAGGAAAACCGAAGCTGAGAAGATTCGACAGCAGAAAACATTCTTTTAATTTTTGCTTCGAAGATAAATAGGCCCCTTCTTTTCCTCGAGCGACCAGATACGACCCTTTTCCCTCGCTAAGGATCCCAAACGTAGAAAATGCCGTAGGAGGGGAGGAGCACGCGTTGGAGCGGCTACGCTACGTGATAGCTGTTTGTCTGGCGTCTCACTGCACAGGAAACTGGAGTATGTTATGATTTCAAGGCTTTGTGGCTGCACGGGGAGAGCGGAAAAAACCTAGCATGATCATGACCTAATACCTACCCGCTTGTCTCAATCCCCCAATCATTTTGCCCCTTTTTTGTTACAGTTTTTCCAAAGAAAGCATTCTATCAGGAAAAAAAAGCATTCAGGTGTGTCCAATCCTGTATGGCACCAATTTTTCCTATTTCTGGTATGATAACACTGGAGATAGAAGGAGATCCTTGTGACCAGATTATGATGACGGTTGACGACAAATATGCCGTAAACATTTTCTACGACTTCTGCGAGCAACCTATGGACGGTGTCAAATGCAGAGGAAGCAGGTCATGCTCGCTAGACGTGTGTCTTTGTAATGGACTGGATGAAGTCTGTGATGCAGAGGAGCCATTTTTTCTTCAAAGAGATAACTGGTCAGTGGCATTTGCCCAAAATCTCTTCGGCTACTTTCCGCGGTAGAGAGGCTTGAATTTTGTACAAGATTATAAATAGGGTGCACAAAGCCTCAGAACTGAGCGTGAAATTAAATGTTCCGCATCGAGCGTCTATGTTAGAACTTCCCTACTTCTTTTTTCTTTTCCTCAACTCCTTCCTTATGCTGTCCTTGATTCATCACTCCTACCTTACTTGAGCCCCGTGGTTTACGATGGTTCGTCTGAAAAAGGGGCGAAACAAACCACCTGCGTTTTGGAGAGTTTTCTTTTTCCAGTTCAATTGCCCTGGTTTTCTTCGTTTTCCAACTGGTCCCGTGATACACACAATTGGGTATACCGTACTCCCTGCCGTCCTGTCCAAGAGCTCAAGTTTAAGAGACATCTTTGGCGTGTATTATACTGCATTTGGCAATGCCATTTCACCTCTGGCAGGGACTCCGCCTCGCATAAGTGCGCTGGAATGGGGAAAACTCCAGATTAGGCCTTGGAGGCAAGGCGGCACATGTTCCGCTCTGCACCCACAGGCTGGTGTTGCGTGCGAAGAAGCCATGCGAGACCCCTATATTTTGCGGTCTCAAGATATCTTTCATTTGCGAAGTTTTCCTCTTCCTCGATGTTCCTTGTTCCTTCCTTCCGTCTCTCTTCCCTCTTCCGTGTTCCTCCCTTCGGATAAACGATGCTATGAGGAAATACCTCTGAACCCTCGCAGCGGGTTACCCTGAACTCATAATACTTGAGTGTCATCAACTTCAGTGACAGCCGGGTTTATACAGCCACTTAGCACTCGCACAGTCCGGGATCTAACCTCGAAACGACTCTCGTGCTGATGAACAAGCGTTTTCTTCCTTGCGTGGTTGGCAAATTGGGGCAAATAAGTATGAGACATGTCTAAGAAGAAGCACTGACTCCTGCATCGGCTAGTCCACACAATTCCGCTGCAATCTTCAGTAGAGGAAAAATGTGTGGCGCATCCCTAAAATAGGCTGATTAGCAACAGAAACTTCATCCTTTTGTTTATGAGATCTGCCTTCCCACGTTTATTTAGCTATCATAAAAGTGCAGATTTGGTGTTTCGGGATGCTTTCAGTGCACCCCGAAACACCGGATCTGTATTTTCATGACATTCAGATGACGGCAGAAAATCCATGTAGTAGCGACGCGGACGACGCATCGACAGAGTTGAGCGCGCAGCTTTCGCGCCAGGGAGGCCGATGATTCACTGTAGAATGCTTAACTTAAATTTTGCCGCAACCGTGGACGTGGTGCACATCAAAAACATTACGGTCGTGTACCGATTTATGGCCAGGAGGCAACGTTTTATTCATTCAGAATTTGCTTTCAGTTCTGCTCCTCCTGAAACCACTAGGACTTCTACGCTCTCGACGACACTGTCAGCGACTACGAAGACATCAACTAGCCCATTAAGTACCACGACGACGAAAAGGATGACGTCCTCTTCACCTCACACTAGTACGCCATCAATTATCCCTTCGTCGACTCTCACTAGCACAGGAAGCTCTACCAAGCCTATCACCACAACTTCGACAGTAGCAACTACAACGCCTGGAAACGACACGTTGAAACATTTAAGTGAGGCGAGTTTAGACGATTTTGCTCCTCGGTCCCTTACAAAAGCCTTACAGTACGACTTGAATGAGCAAGAGTCACGAGGCACCTAACTTCCTTTGTAGACTGTAGTGATAGTCGTCATCACGGGACTTTGCTTTACTTTTTCATGCTCTCTTTATTCCAACTAATTTAGAGTGGCATTGGAGCGAATAATGTATCGAGGATTCTCAACGAGACCCTCGTTTATTCTGAAACTCGTTCCGATCTCACAGCCATCCAAATCCAGGAAATAACTACAATTCTACAGAACAGCGCAGCTATCAACGGTCTGAAACCTTCCGTGAGTTATACGGCTTAAAATTATCAAGTAGAGAAATGGCTCAGCAGCATCATTCTCTATACGATAGGTTAAGACCTGTGCTCCGTCGACGCCGTCCCTTTTATGTCAAAGTTGTCTGAAAGTATTAAAATACAAATATCAGCGCTTTCGGTGCCCACGGAGCGCCTACTAAACCAAATAACCTCCAACATTCCTGCAATCCTAGTGAAGCTGGACTTCGTATCGCACCCCGGTGAGATAATGAGAAGTGTGAGCTGATTTACCATTCTTAACCTTTATCTTGAGGAAGGTTCCACCATTACATTGTTTGAGAAACAAGAATCGATCCCTGAGCAAGTCAGACCGAGAGCATCCGACCTTTTCGGTTTTTGCGGAACCGATTAAATGGCTCGACGCTTACTTTGGGGGATGGAAACACTGTAAGCGCAAATTTCTCCACCAAAATCCTTAAGAATTTTTTAGGACTCGAAGAATATCTTGCTCAACATGGATTGCGTTCTGTCAGCGGATCCACAGCAAATACAAGACAGTGGCAACAGTAGTCAAAGGTAAGTGGCTCATTGGAGGCTACTCGGAATAGATTGCCTAGCTTGCTTCATGTGGATAGAAAATAAAGAAGTTGGCGCAGTTTGGGTTAGTGAGGCAGTGAAGTGGTGCTCAGCGGAGCCCGTACAAGACACCTTGTAAAGTCCGTAATTCTTGTAACCGAAGTGGCTAACTTGCACCCATTCTCAGCCTCTCAAGAGCCCACAGATCTCACCAAAATGGCAGCTAACTAGCATAAACCAGCAAAGAGAACTAGTGAAAGTGTAAAATGCCTCTACCAAGCCAATTAGCGTCAAGAAGGATCTTGTTTCAATAAATCCCCATGAGCGCGAGTGGTGCAGTAGCGGGTGGCGCAATGTTCCACGCACACTGTTCCACACGGATCCAATCTCAAATCGATTCCCCGCTTCATATCAACTAGTCTGTACCAGAGTCATCCGCCGCCGCAGAATGGGAAGGTACAGTCCTCATCATTACGGACTGTCGGGGCGGCACAGCCGCGCTGCAATGTGACGCGACAGCGGCTGCGGCTCGGTGACGGCGAATCAGCTGATTTCCATGGAATTCGGCTGCGAATTCCCACTTTTTCAACTCTTCGAGCTTCGAAAGTGGAAGGTGAGTTATTTGAGCAATTTTAAATTGTACTGACTCTGAATGAATCTGAAAGAATGCAAGCCATTTGAATAAATGCCTGAAATAAGGCAAAATACAAGGAAAAGAGCATATAATCGACATAAAAATAAAGGAAATCAGAGCCAGTACAATTATTAGGTTGGCGGGAAAGTTCTGTCACTCTTTTCCGAACTCAAATTACTTGCCCATTACCAAGAGTGGTAACCGGTAATGTAAGCTCTTATACAACAAGGAGTGGTCTCTCTGTTAGTACCACTCGCTTGCCTCTTGCTCCTTCTTCTGCAATATGCACAAGGATTTTATCCGCTACCATCAGCCCCGACCCATCCAACAACTTCCACAAACTATTTCACCCACCACCCTGACGCCAGCGTGTTAGCACGATGCCCCAATCATCGAGCAACCTTACCACGACAGTGACGCTTCAAGGCGGGAGCCTAGGGAGCCTACAGTTTTGATGACGAAGTGAGGTTTGGGTTACCTGCAACCTCAGCTTGAGGGAGCTATGGGTCGGGAAACTGCTGGATGAAGAAGCTGCTTCCTTGGTCAAGGCGTACGCAAAGCAGCTACGAGATCTAAGGCGTATCGTGGATCAGAGGGAAAAATTTGTCCGCAGCCGGCCCTCACCAACGCACTTGGTCCAAAAAAGTTCGAGCCGTACCTCATGCAATGGAGCTTGATCTCTCTCCCCTTGCACTTGTGTAGCACAGACATCGCCCCTTCTAATAGCAAGTTGCCTTCCGTAATCGATCGTTATGCGGACGAGAAAACCTCCATAACCCAAGTTCAAGTCGAGTTGAGATGGTGTCCAACTTTGCGTCGTGTCTCCCTGCATAGTGAAGCGATGGCATCCATGAGGTGCTCAAACACTGGCAAGGACCCCGCAGTAACATTGCTGTACAATTTTGATCTTACACTCCTCTCTATAAAAAGAAAGCCTAGTTTGAAAAAATGTGACAGAACTTTCCCGCCAACCTAATAAAAATTGTTCAGCAATAACTCACCTTCCACTTTAGAAGCTTGAAGAGCTGAAAAAGTAGGAATTTGCAGCCGAATTCCATCGAAATCAGCTGATTCACCGTCACCGAGCCGCAGCCGCTGTCGCGTCACAGTGCAGCGCGGCTGTGCCGCCCCGACAGTCCGTAATGATGAGGACTGTATATCCCACCATCAGCCATCAGAAGCGCTGTATATAGGGGGATGAGGTTTCTTCTACCCCACTCTCTATGAAGTCACACCTGAAGGAGGACAAACCGTCAGAAACATTTTAAATGAGGCACTCCTTGTTTCAAGCGGGATTCCAATACATACTTGCTGAGGTTTGTGACCTACAGAATCTCGAGTGGGATTGTTCAGATTGTGTCACCATGTGCTTTAACGCCTCTACTTTACAACTCTCCGAAGCTTATTTGTTACAAGGTGGTCCACTGCCGCTCACACCACCTTTCTAGGCACAAAGGTGTTCCTCTCACAAGATGTGATAATTATGGGAACCTTCTTGCACCTTTTAGGCTGCTCTCAATGCTTCCCACGCTGGTGATGAACACGAACGCCAGCCAGTTCGACTTTCTGAATGGCGAAAATCTTGGATTCACTGCGAAGAGTGTCGATTGTTCCTCAACGACGGACGATGGTCTTATCGATTTGGGCAATATTTTCGAACTTCTCAATGGATCACTACCTGACAGCGATCAGCACAACTCCATTTACTTACCCATGACTGGAATATGTAGCGAGCAACAGGGTAAGCTAACCTTAAACTAAACTCCACTAAGAAGCTGTGACCTAGTTCACAGACCATATTTCCTGCTGGAATTGATGACGAACTGTCAATGACACTTATTTCAGCAACTCACATCTTCATGACAGTTTACCGGAACCGTAAGCTTTTCATGGGTACGAAGCAGTATCAAACATACGCTTCAGCTTCAACTATGGCGGAACGAAGTGTTGAATCTGAGGCTGGTCTGCTTCCAAAAGCTCCTGCTCGTGATTTGTAATTCTTCCTGATTTGAAACAAAATCCGCTCAAGACAAAATATGGAAATTATCACAAAATTATTACAAGTTCACAAGCTTCTGCTATAAACGCCTCAAATGATAGTTGTAACATTGAAGTCAGACAAGGCGGTGGCAGAAGGGGCGGAATGAGGTCGCGTCTGGCTGCTTGCCCTTCCAATAGAGATCTTTTAGCGACCGCTGTAGGATGAAAAAAGCCAGTGGTGGAAACGCCGCGGGTGGGCTATTCCATCCCTCTTGGGATGGTCCTGACTAACTGCTACGTTATCAGTTGTAGTTTTGTAAGGATGTCTCGAGTGGTGTCCAAATTCCGATGAAAATTCTGCTGTCGAACTGCCTCGTGACATCAGAACCCCAAAATAAAAATTAACATTATCTAGTTTACTATTACTAATTTTACTATTGAATTTCAATCATAACGAAACACTATATAACATACCCCCTCATTAAAGTCGGCAATGATATCTGCAAAGAGGACAGCATCGGAATGTGTGAAATGGGTATCGGTGAGACCCCCCCCCCCCCACCTTCCGCCCTTCATATCTTCGGAGTTCTTCAAGCGATATAGCCCCAGTTCACAACCTACCTTAGACCTTACCAATGTTAACCAATATTTAAGCGCAAACCGGGGGGGGGAGGGGCAAGGGAGTAGCGCTCAAATAGCCCCTAGAAATCTGAAGGCTCCAATTTCACAACCAGTGCCAAACAAAGTTCTGCGAACTTGTTATTCAAAAGATGCTTTGCATGATCACCTGCATGGTGAGCTGCCTACGTTTGGCAGATCTGAACCTAAAATGCGTCACTTTTCGCCACTCGAAAGTGCGCCACAATGGTCTGGGGGCTTGTGATAGCCTGGTGTGAATGCGGCTGCGTACGCCCTTCCATATGGACTACGCACGTCACGGCTACGCCATAGCCAGATGTGTGATTATAGTTCGTCGCAGTGAGGCTATGGTGATAGATGGCTGGCCGTACGGCGTGTTGCGTGCCCATAGCGTGCTTTCTGTGTACTGGGCGGAGATGTGAGAAATACCCAGCTATCAGAACCATATTCGAAAGCGAGCACATTCACAGCTTTCCCGCATCCTGAAGGGGCCCGTTCTCTGATAGTCGTTCAATGTGTCTTGGGCAGAACAGTACATTGTAATAGTGTTTCATCATTACACAAAATTTGCAAAATTTACCTAAATTTGTAACCCTACCTTTCTTATTACAACTAATTAATGCCCTCACAATGATTCATTTCACAATAATTGTGTTTAGGGGATTTGAGGACACTACAGACATCGCTACCACGCCATGTTCTTCGCCAAATTGCTTTGCAGAAAACAACGCCCCGTAAGAGCGACAATTCTCAATGATGGTGTGATGCTGAGGCGAGTCAGGGGGCATTGGTATGGGGCGACGCCAACCCAATTTCCACCAATTGTTGTCGCTTGCCCCCTTCAACAATTGGTGGAGAAAAGGCTGGCGTCGGGCCGAACCCGGACCTCCCTCCTAACACGTCCCTGCATCCGAAGCGAATAAGACTGTATACTATCTGCACTTATCTGTTGATTTGTTATTGTTGATATATATCAATTTTTGGTTCAAATAGGTAATATCGCGACTTGATTCGGATAGCACCATCGCTGTATTGAGATTCAACATCACCAGGGTAAGCAGACTTCAAAGCTCTTCAAAAATTCGACCTTTAGCTGAACCAGTGCCTTTGTAAGTTAAGGTTCTTACACCACTTCATGGTCACTTTCGTGTCACGTGGTGGGACACAGAAAAATTGGAATGGTCCACTGAAAACCAATGTGAAACCAGCACCGAAGGGGATGTGATAGTCGCTAAATGCCAGCATCTAACGGATTTCACACTCATCGTTGTGAGTCGTTTGCTTGAAGCTAAACTGGATTATAGAAACATCATGCTTTCCGTGAGAATTATTTCAGTTATGGGAGGGTGTCTACGTTCCTTATAGAAAAGCATAAATCAATACCTTACACTCTAACTGGCCGTGACTCAATCACAGCCCCCGCGCTCAAGTAGTACATGGTCGTTATTCCTTGTGGAA